CCCCCCAGGGATTGAACTTAGGGGCACTCAACCACTGAGCCACATCACACCCTGTTTTGTATTTTATTTAGAGATAGGGTCTCACTGAGTTGCTTAGTACCTCAGTTTCTTTGAGGCTAGCTTTGAACTCATAATCCTCCTGTCCCAGCCTCCCTAGCCACTGAGATTACAGGTGTGCACCACCATGCCCAGCTCCTTTCTTTCTTTTAAAAGTGTTTTGTTATATGTGAAGTGATTAGTTTCTCCCAGTCTTTCACTTCAGTTTTTACCCTTTAATGGTATTATATCATAAGTTCACATTTTATTTTAATATTTTCCAGTTTGGGAATCAAAAGATATTATTTTCTTTAACTTTGGAAATAAATAACTGTCTTTCTTTTTGTATTTTCATTGTTATTATTTTTTATTTTGGAGATTGAAGGCAGGTGTGTCATAGTGCTCAACCACATTCACAGTCCTTTCTAAAGTTTATTTTGAGTAAGCATCTCACTAAGTTGCTCAGGCTGACCTTGATCTTGCAATTCTTCTATCTTTTCCTTCTAACTAGCTGGTATTACAGTCAAATACCACTATATCAACTGTATAAATCCCTGTCTTATAATAACTTTGGTATATTTTATATTTTTCTTTTATATTAAAATATTTATTACTAGTGAAAGTGATTTCTTAAGTCATATTAGAAAARGATACAATGGCATTTTGTCACACAGATACCCCATTATCCCATCAGCTTTCTTTGGAAAGGATGTTATTTTTCTCCTTTACTGTAGTACAGTTTCTATCTTTTGTTATGGTCTAAATTGCCAGTGTCTTCTTAAGGATTCTTTCTTTAGTTCCACAGGGCTAATTATCCATCTCATTATGAGGTCATACTGATTGCTATAATGTTATATCCTATATTCATATGTGGCATAATGTGTTTATCAATGGAAATTCATATACACTGATGTCTACAATATAACTTAGGTATGTAATGGTCTATACCAAGTTGGACTGTGTCAGTACCCTGTATCATTTGCAAAATGACCGAATCACCTTAWGATTCATTGTCCAGAATGTATTCCCATCATTAAGTGAGGCATCATTATATATAAGCATAAATGTTACAACTATATAATATATAAATAATATGCAGTTTTTACTTGTGAAATTTACCAAAACTCTTTCAATTTTATTTGTGTTCTAAATGCAACATCTGACTTACTGACATTTTCTATGGTATGTTCATTATTAATATCTTTAAATTTTTGCTTAGCATTTTTCTTTACTTTTTTTTTTTAATAAAAATTGCTTTTTCTGCCAGGTACCGTGGCACATACCTATAATCCCAGTGGCTTGAGAGGCTGAGGCAGGAGGATTGTGAGTTCAAAGCTAACCTCAGCAAAAGCGAGGTGCTAAGCAAATCAGTGAGATCCTGTCTCTAAATAAAATACAAAATAGTGCTGGGGATGTACCTCAGTGGTCGAGTGCCCCTAAGTTTAATTCTGGGTACCTACCCCACAAAAATTGCCTTTTTAAAAATATCAAAACTGATAGTTAGCTAACGAATTCTCAGTTTTATTTTAAATTTATCATTTTATAGTGTGYGATTTCTTTTTAACCTTAGTGTAAACACATAACACATTTTTTTCAGGTTTATTGGTATAATCATCTATACATATTTAAGGTGTACACTTTTATCTTTTAACATGAACACATCCATAAAAACAGCCCAGTGATCTACAGAATTAATATATCCATTACCCCAAAGTATTTTCTAGTTCCCTTTTGAGGTCTCTAATTTCTGCTCTTCCCCACCACATTTTATTTAATGAATTTGATTTTATTAATCAAGGCAAATACTGGACCAGCATCAAAACTATATAGATCAATAAATTATTACAAAGGAAACATACCATATAACTACTGTTTATATTAAGAAATGGAATAATATTAATGAGCCTTCATGTTCTCTTGCTTTTACTATGCACTCCTGTTTCCTTAGTGGTAACAACAACTTTTCTTTTCCAAATAGTTCTTTTTAAAACAAAACAAAACAAAACAAAAAAAAACAGAAGTAGACCAAAATATTTGCTTAATTATAAAAAAAAAAAAGTGTACAAGAGGGCAGTTTATTGTCTAGGAAACCAAACCTGACCATAATCTTGCTTGATGATTTGTTAGTGGAGCAAATCTGAGGGTGATCCAGGGATCAGAAAATACAAGTCTCAGAAACTCTCTTTTCTTTCTATTCTTCATTGCATGTATTTCAATCATGTGTTAAAAAGCAAAGCATCAACCCTAAATTTATTTATAACTTTGATACAATTAAATTTATTTTTTATTTACATGAAAAAATTTTAATATATGAAAGCTGCCATTTTTAATGTGTGTGCTAAAATATAAATATCACTTGATTTTGCTGCTTTTTTTTTCATTAGTTCTAATTAGCTATACATGACAGTAGAATGTATTTTGACACATTGTACACAAGAAGTATGACTTCTCGTTCCTCTGGCTGTACATGGTGTAGAGGAACACCAGTAGTGTAATCGTACAAGTGTATATAGGGTAGTCATGTCTGTCTCATTCTATCATCCTTCTGTTCCCTACAGCCCCACACCTCCCCTGACTCCCCTCTGCACAATCCAAAGTTCCTTCATTCTTCCCTCCACCCCGCCCCTACTTATCAGAGAAAATATTTGGCTTTTGGTTTTGGGGGATTGGCTTATTTCACTTAGCATGGTATTCTCTACTTCCATCCATTTACCTGCAAATGAATAATTTCATTCTTCTTGATTTTGCTGCCTTCTTAATATGTATCCATTTCCCTTCTCAGTTAAAATAACTGACCATCCTACTCTGAAATTTCTTTTGACTCCATAGTTTATTTTGACCTTTATAGTCTTTTTTTTTGTTTAATGACTAATAGTTCAGATAAACTTGGGCAAAACCCAGGTGCTACCATATACTGGAGATTTGACAAAATGTCCTAAAAGATAAAAACTATTACTGCCTTCATAGATTATTTTGAGATTTATGCATTAAGATACCAAAAACTCTTAGAGAGAGATCTATATTTTAAAGGGAGAGAAAATTCTTATTGCAATTTTCCATATAATAAAATGTATATAAGCCTTAAATATTTGAATGCAAATTCATCAGAGAATTTTTCCTTTAGTGTTCCACCTCATTACTATTCATCAGCTTCCTTTGGACCATTRGCATTTGCATCACTAGAGAGCTTGCTACTTACTCAAACCCAAACCACATCTTAGAAATACAGAATCACTGTCTGTCCTTTAGTAAATTCTCCAATACATGGTTGCACACATTAAAATTGAGAATCACTCTTCTAACTCACTGTAAGATTCTTATCTGAAAAGTATACATAATTTCTCTTAAAAAACATAAATATAGCAATTAAAATATATATTCTGTTTTTTCTTAATTTTACATTTTATTTCATAAAAGTGTAGTATGTACACTGATTTTTGTTGTTGTTGTTTGCTTATTTTGGACTTATGTCATTCTCTCTCTTGAGTACATTCTCTTTCTTCAAACTTAGATAATATGTTAGAGAACATTACTATGTTAAAAAATGTCATATTGAATGATTGAGTTCACTCCCCTATGTGAAAGCCAGTTCTAACTCTCATTACAATTTGTGTCAATTTAAAAACTGTGTCAGTGATCATATGGTTGATGTGATATTTATTTACTCATTTTTATTTCAGGAAACCTTGACATTCAGGGATGTGTTCATTGATTTCTCTGAAGAGGAATGGGAATGCCTGGATCCTGCTCAGAAGACTTTATATAGAGATGTGATGTTAGAGATCTATAGAAACCTGGTATTTTTGGGTGAGCATAAATTTCCTTTAGAATTACTAATTCATTGTCAATATTTACTTTTCTTCCTTTGTAGAATATTTCTTGGAAGCTTCTGTTCTGCATGAAAATGTTATAGATTCTTGTTTTTAGGATGAAGATTGGGCTTTTTTTTTGAGTAGAAAAGAAAATGTTAAAGGTATTTATTTTTATATTTAACCTATCTTTTTTATTATTCTTTTTACTTTTGATAGGTCAAAATAGTGCTCACAATCAGAAGATTGAAAATATTTCTGAAGTATTCAAATGATTCTGCCAGGGGAAAAAAGCATTTGGAATAATAATTGTCTAGAATCTTCTATGATATTTATTTTTTCTAATGAGGACAGCATTAAGAAACAACAGTAGTTACAATGACAATACCACAATGAGTCATATTCCATTTTCCAAWAAACACATCTTGCTGTATCTAAGTCATTCTTAGTCATCTTTCTGTCCCAAAAGAAATAACCTTGGAATTTAAAGAGAAAAGCTACAGTAGTCATATCAAAGTGGGTAGAAATCAATGAAGCAAAGTACACATGGAAGAGGTCTAAATGTCAAAGATGAAGTCACATTTTTAAATGTTAATTGAGAGGCTATAAATCAATAGAAATGATTTTTTCAAACCTAAGTTTATTTCTCTTGCAATCATTGAAGAGCATAGCTTGTCCTGTTTATCATGCTTTCTAATTCTATAAGCTCTTTCTTTTTCTCCAGTCATCTGTCTACTTTCAAATTAACAAACTTCTCCCCAGTGCCTGTGGGAATGTGCATAAATTGACAGACATTTATCGATCTTGAAAATATGCACACATTTGTGCCTACCTCTAGCTTAAACAACTTCAATGTATTAAAATCAAAGAACAGGTTCTCTGATTTAAATATTTATCCCTTCAAATTTTCTCATCAAAGCTTTGTATGAAAGCTTATCCTGGATTTTCTGTGAAATTTTTCTGCCATATAATGGATATGAATCAGTCACAGTGCCTGCTCTTAGTGGCTACATAATTACAGCTGAGAATTGTGGTTTAAATAAGGATTCTTAAAGTAATAAGAGTCATTCAAAATTTTTTGAGTTAAATTTTCTCTCATTTTTGTGTCTCTTTCTGAGTTTCACTGTTTAGAGTAACTTCAGTATTGTGCCATAGATTTTCTCACATCAGTGAATATTGTTTTCATTTTACACATATAAGTTATAATTGGATAAAAATTTTTATGACTTCACATTTTAGGACAATATTAGTCAAAATTAAAATATGTGTGAACCATTTAATTTTCAATTTAATTACATATGCTTTTACATGCTTGTATAAATATTACCCCAGTTTTGTTTATGACTTGTGTATAGTCTCTTTTTTTTCTTTTATGCCRCTGAGGATTGAACCCAGGGCCTTGTGCAACCAACTGAGCTGTATTGCCAGCTTTAGTATCTTGATTGTTTACTCTGCTTAGGTGATTATTCATATAATTCATCTAAATTTTATGTGTGTGTTTATATAATTTATAAGTGTTTTTATATATTATAGTATTTTGTAATTAATTTTATAATATATTTATGTATATTTATATAATAAATTTAGATGAATTATATGAATATTTAATATTATATGAATATTATATATATGTATATATATATWTTTTTCTGGGGATTGAACTCAGAAGTGCTATAATACTGAGCTACATCCCCAGCCACAATTCTACTTTTATTTTGAATCAGGTTTTTGCTAAGTCATTTTTTTAAATATTTAGTTTTTAGTTGTAGTTGGACACAATACCTTTATTTTATTTATTTATATGTGGTGCTGAGGATCGAACCCAAGGCCTTGCATGTGCTAGGCAAGTGCTCTACCACTGAGCCACAACCCCAGCCCTTGCTAAGTCATTTTATATTTGCATTTCCCTGCCATAGCCTTCCAAGTAGCTAGAATTATTAGCATATTCTATATGTAGGTGAATCTGTTCTCTTGTCTAGGAGCAAGACTTTAGCATTTTATTTTATTTTTAATTTTTTTTAGTTGTTGTTGGACACAATACCTGTATTATAATTTTTATGTGGTGCTGAGGATCGAACCCAGTGCCTCACACATGCCAGACAAGTGCGCTACCACTGAGCCACAACCCCAGCCCCAAGACTTTAGCATTTTAAAGGTAGCTTACAAAGAATTTTACAATTCTGTTTATCTTTTATATTTTTTTAAAATTTTAATTGTGATCAAAACCATTTACTTACTTTCACTTAAACTTACTTTCTTACATATTTTAAATATACTGTTCAGTAGTGTTGTTTCAAATTATTTGGTAACATATTTCTGGAAAGTTTATATCAAACAAAAGTAAAATTCAATTCTCAGAAAAAGAATTTGTCTCTCACCCTTCCATCCCAAACACCATTTCTTCTGGCCTGTATGTTTGATTATTTTAGATATCTCATAAGTAGAATCACATGGTATTTGTCTATTTGTTAATGACTTCTGTCAGTTCACATAATATCCTAAAGGTTAATCATTATAGATGTTATAACATTTCTTATTTGTAAAGTTGAAAAATGTCTCATAGTTTACTTCAAATTTCCTTCATCTTCACATAGGAAAGGATATTTCATTTTTGTTACATATTTGGCTCTATAGAATTATGTTGTAATAGATGTGTAAATACGTCTTGATTTGACCATGAAATCAAGAGCCAATTGCTACACTGTCAGTTTTCTTACAAATTTCAATTTGTCTAACTTCATTTTAACATAAAACTATTGGATATTTTACTATCTATCTATCTATCTATTTATTTATTTATTTTAGTTGTAGTTGAACACAGTACCTTTATTGAGGATAGATCCCTTGCATGAGCTAGACAAGTACTCTATCACTGAGCCACAACCCCAACCCAACCTTTTATTAAATTTTTATATCAGAAAGCATTTGTTTTATTTTGAATGTGATTTAGTTGTTTATGTACCCTGGATACTTCAAAAAAATTTTAAAATAACATTTTGTTTCTCCAAAAAGTTATATTGAATATCTGATAGGTAATACATGGACTTTCTTTAGAACTCTTTGGGAGRTAAAGGCACTTTCTTTTTGTACCAGGATTGAATCCATGGATACTTATCCACTTAGTCACATCCCCWGCCCTTGATTTTGTTTGAGACATGGTCTCCCTATTTGCTGAATCTGGCTTTCAACCATTGGTGAATTATTGGATATTACTTCCACTTTTTATTTCCAACTAACTACATTATGTTACAAAGCAATTTCAATATTTTAATAATTATTAACATTTATGATTTTTTACCAAGTCTATTGGAGATAATATTCCATGAACTATTGAGAAGAATGAATCTCTAAATATAGTTTGTTCATAATACTTTTTGAAGTTTTCTAATACCTGAGTATCTATTCCCAATACTTTTTTCTTCCTTTGCATTAATTGGGGGTTGATGTCCTGTACTATTACTGTGTTGCTTTCTATGGTGTTGAATTCTCTAGTGTTTGCCATCTATATTTGGGAAGTGTGATTTGAGTTTCACATGTATTTATTACTGTTTTATTTCAGAGAAGGGCCACTTTCATCTTCATACAATATTCTTTGTCTCTTATAATCTCTTATTTAATAAATTTTGTCATCTTTATACTTTTAAATGTAATATCCTTTTCATACTTTTGTTTTAGTCTTTTTTGTGACCTTAGATGTAAGGAGAATCTCCTGGAGGTTTAGATATGATATAGTTATGTATTTTTAGTTTTAATCTTATTAGTCATGTGTTCTGAGTGGTGTTTGATAATAGTGCATTTATACTTAAATTACTAGCAGGAACTTTGTACTATAACTTTGTAAGATTTTTTTTATTTCTTAAATTTTTTTCTACTTTAAAAAAACTTCTTTAATTTGTGGTTTATAAATTTTTATAGTGACATGTTTTGATTCCCCCTATTTCCTTTTATATCTTCTATATCTATTTTGTCACTACTTGGAATTACATAAAAGTACTTAGTTGACACTRTATTTTAAATTGAACTTCAGTTCCTTATAAAAATCAGTGTCTTTACATGTCTTGTTAATGTTTTATTATTGATATCACAGCTGCTTTTATACCTTATACCCATTAACAGTGATTTATGATAATATTTATGTTTTAGTCTTTTATATTCTATAGCAGAATTAAATGTTTTATGGGCCACCATGATAGTAAAATGGAGTTTATATTTGTGTATATTTTGTTTCTCCTCAAAAGCTTTCATGTTTTATGTGACTTTTGTAGCTATGCAGTTTTACTTTATTGGAAAGATTCAGTTAAGTATTTCTTGTAGGACAGATCTAAAAGTGAGGAAATTTTTGCACATAACTCACATATCTTGAAAGCCTGTATTTTTCATTACGTTTGAAAAATAGGATTTTTTGATATAGTCTTCTAGGTTGATATTTTGTTTTTCTTTTAACACATGACCTATATGTTCCAATTCCTTCCTAGAAGGCTTCAATTAAGAAGTTACCTATTAACCATATAAAAATATCTTTATAGATGACACCTCTCTTTTTCTTGGTCTGCTCAAAAAAGTTCTCTTGAGTTTTAATGCTTTAATTATAGATGCTTTACCTTGAGTCTTTGAATTGAGTTTATAACATTTGATGTATTTTCCTCCTCACATTTCTAATTTCTCAGACATTATTTATTTTCGGGGGAGGGGGGGGTCGTGTACCAGGGATTGAACTCAGGGKCACTCAGCCACTGAGTCACATCTTYAGCCCTTTTTTTGTATTTTATTTATTGATGGGGTTTCAGTGATTTGTTTATTGCCTCCCTTTTGCTGAGGGTASCTTTGAACATGTGATCCTCCTTCATCAGCCTTCTGAGCTGCTGAGATAACAGGCTCTTATACATTATGTCTCAAGGAATATTTCTAGTGTACAATTTCTCCTTTTTTGTCATTATTTTTTTTCYTGAATTTTATTCAYTTTTTTTTTCTTTTTTCTTTTGGTATTTATTTATTTATTGCAGTGCTAGGATCTTGAGAATGCTAGGCAAACTSCTTAACACTGAACTATACCCACATTCCCAGGCCTGGTATTTAGTTAGCATTTAATGCAGCTGTTTAGAGTATTCACAGGAGATTGATTTTTGGATCCTCCCCATGAATACGAAAGTCCTTGAATACTGAAGTCTCTTATATAAAATAGTGGCACTTTTCTTTATTCTTAATTAGTTCATTAAACATCTTTTAAATGGTTAATTGGCATTCTTTATGTAATTAACAACTCTCAATTTCCTCTCAATTTCTAGTGTTTTATATTGTTTCTTTGCTTGAATCAATTCTCCCCTTTTTCATGTGTGTGTGTGTGTGTGTGTGTGCTGTTATTTTCATTGAGAATTTTTCCACTTAAAAACCCCTTAAAATAGATCATTCTAGTCATTTTAGACAATGTTTGGAATTTACCAAATAAATCAAAATAGGTCAGGTATATAAAGGGCTGTGGGTGTAGTTCAGTGGTATACGCCCATATGTTCAATCCCAAATTATCCCCCAAAGAAAAAAAGGAGAAAACCACTTTGTGAAATGTTTGAGTCACATGTAGAATCTGAAAAAGTTGAACTGAGAGACTATGTGATTTGATGGTGTTGTGCAAACATTACTCAAAGTCCAAGTGTGTGATGAAATCTCAAGATGATTTTGGAAGTTCTCATAAATTTTGTCAGCATATTGTAAAGTTCATATACTTCTGGATTAATGATGGCCTYGGATTATACTGCTTTCTTGTTTATGTACTCACCTTGATAAAACTTTATATATTTGCAAAGTATATTCATCACAGTAAGTGGAATAATTTGCTATTTTGACTTCTTTCAGGTATATGTTCTCATCAAGTCCAAGAATTTGCACCAGAGCGGGAAATAAAATATTTATTCCAAAACATGAAAAAGGAAAGGTATGGAAAATATGACATTGAAAATCTACTTTTAAAGAAAAAATGCAAAATTATGGGAGGGAATATAGGTCAGAAAATTTGTTTTAATGAACATAACAAATGCATGATTATTATTTAAAATTAAAATTATACTGTCATCAGTTATCAGTAACATAACATCTCAGAAGACTACTTAATTCATGTCAGTAACTTTTGAGGACCTATGTGTGCCTTTAAATACATTTTCATAGCATCTTTTACATCATACCTTGCCTCTAAGTAAATTTGGAAATTTTGCTATGGAGACTATTCCATGCTTCAGTTAGTAAGTGGAATATTTTGAAATGTAGCATTGAGTTAAACATTCACTCAAACATTTCTCTAGACAAGAGATTAAAAATTAGAGAACAAATTTCTGACTGATTAATCTAATCATTACTTTAMAAAAAGGCTGCAATGAAAAAACAATTCCACCTGTGCTAAAGCAYAGAATTTTGATGAATGTGAGAAGAGTTGTACTTATCTATTGGTTAATCAAATTTCAGATATAGATATTTGAAGAGACTTCTACATTTATGATAAATCTTTCAAGATGTGTACCTAGGTCTCTTCCCTAACTAATTAYCAGTATATTTATTTTGGTGAAAACAAAATTAAAATTCTGTGAAACCCATAAGAATTTATTTTTTTAAATCCTAGAAAACATCAGTGTGATCATTTTAAAAAGAAGCTTTACAAAGATAATAAAAGTGAGAAAGTTTTTRATCAATTGTCAAAATATATATATCCAAGCTTTGATATTCAAGAAAAGAATGACAAATGTGTGGGACGTTCAAGAGCTTTAAATAAAATTGCAAGCATTACTGAACACCAGAAAATTCATACTGGAGGGAAGTCCTACAAATTTAAAGAATGTGTAAAACCATTTAAAGATTACTCAATCCTTTATCATAGCAGTGACAAACCCTACATATGTAAAGAATGTGGTAAAGGTTTTACTCAACCTTCAACCCTTACTAAACACCATAGGATTCACTATGGAGAGAGCCCATACAAATGGAGGAAATGTGTCAAAGTCCTTAAGTATCACTCAACCTTTATTAAACACCACAGTATTTATAATACAGAAAAGCTCTACAAATGTAATGAATGTGGCAAAAGTTTTAATCGAAGCTCAAACCTTATTGTTCACCGTAGAATTCATACTGGAGAGAAGCCATACAAATGTGAAGAATGTGAGAAAGCCTTTCATCAAAARTCACACCTTACTCAACACCAAAGGAATCATTCTGGAGAAAAGCCCTACAAATGTAAAGAATGTGGCAAAGCTTTTACTGTTAGGCCAAGCCTTATTGCTCACCAGAGAGTTCATACTAGAGAGAAGCCATACAAATGTGAAGAATGTGGCAAAGCTTTTAATGAAAAGTCACACCTTATTTGCCATCAGAGAATTCATACTGGAGAAAAGCCATACAAATGTAAAGAATGTGGCAAAGCTTTTACTGTTAAGACAAGCCTTATTGCTCACCAGAGAATTCATACGGGAGAAAAGCCATACAAATGTAAGGAATGTGGCAAAGCTTTTACTGTTAGGCCAAGCCTTATTGCTCACCAGAGAATTCATACGGGAGAAAAGCCATACAAATGTAAAGAATGTGACAAAGCTTTTACTCAAATCTCAAAACTTATTATTCACCAGAGAATTCATACTGGAGAAAAACCATACAAATGTAAAGAATGTGGCAAAGCTTTTATTGAAAGATCATACCTTACTCAACACCAGAGTTTTCATACTGGAGAAAAGCCCTACAAATGTAAAGAATGTGGCAAAGCTTTTTATCTAAATTCAAAACTTACTGTTCACCAGAGAATTCACACTGGAGAAAAGCCCTACAAATGTAAAGAATGTGGCAAAGCATTTAATCAAAACTCAAGTCTTAATGTACACCAGAGAATTCATTCTGGAGAGAAACCATACAAATGTAAAGAATGTGGCAAAGCATTTAATCAAACCTCAAGTCTTAAAGTACACCAGAAAATTCACACTGGAGAGAAAAACTACAAATGTAAAGGCCATGGAATGAGGCAAAGTTGTTAAGTAATGCCTCCAAGCAGCTGAGAATTCATACTTGAGAAAATCCTTACAAATATAAATGTTAAAAAGCATTCATTGTGACATCATACTTTATTGATCACCAGATAATGCAGAGTAGAACAAAGCCCTACAATTGAAGAAAAAAATGTGGCAAAGTTTTTACTCAAAGCTCAACATTTTAAAAATGTCAAACATTATATTAGGGATTAAACCCTACAAATGTAGAGTATGTGACAACACTTTTAATAGAAGCTCACACCTTACAAATCACCATAGGTTTAGTACCTGAGCTCTATAAATGTAAAGAATATGTCAAAGCTTTATTCAAATGAAAAAAATTATACTTTCTCAAAACCTAATTCATGTTAATATCTGCATAAAACCGTCTGTCCAAGATGCATAGCTCATGTGTCAGTAAAATGTTTAATATTAAGAAAAATGTTGACATATGAGAAAAATACAGCAAAGTCATTGTTTTCCATATATTTCTGAATATGAGAATTATCAGAGAATTTCTGTAAGTAAAGAAAATGTGGCATTACTTTTAACAGTTTCTTAAAATTTACTGGGCATCATTAGTTGATGTGATAGAAATAAAGTAACCCTCAGATATCAACATAGTGCAGATAGCTCATCCCTGAAAAAAATTTGTTTATTACAAATAAAAACTAAATATATATACTCAAAAACTGGAGAAAAGATAATTTTTCCTCTAAGTAATTATATCAAAGGAAAAATACTCAATAATGAGAATTTTAAATTTGACTTTTTTCTTGTTGTGGTGGTGATGAGGATTGAACCCAGGGCTCTTGAATGCTAAGCAAATGTTCTACCACTGAGTCACATCCATAGCCATTTTATTCTGTATTTTGTGAAGACTTTACAATTATATTTGAAATACTTTATTCACATTGTGAAAGAATTTTGTTACAAAATAACAGTGAATGTTTCTGAATTGTTAACACTATCATGTATTGAATTACATATTATGATAGTTTGTAGGTAACAGACAACAAAGAGATACTGTTTGGTAAACAATGTGACATTTCTCTTAATCCTTTTAGGCAATGTAATCAATCTTCAAATTATGTGGAGATGATTTAATCATTTCTAAAGAAACTGGCTCAATAAATTGTCTAATCATTTCTCATTTTTATATTTATTGTGGACAAAGACATTACAGGAAATATAAAGAAAGATGATAACAAACCCAGATTGCTAAATCTTAAGTTGCTATTTCAAAATTTTATTCTATAATTTATGGGTGTTTTATTGATATATTGATATCCCTTCATATCATGAAAATTGGTTTTGATTGAAATTTATTTGAATATACAAATTTTCCAATCTAATGGTAAAGTTTGGGAGTAAGTATGATAGAAGTAGTAATTCTCTCTTTCTGTCTCTCTCTCTCTGTGTATGTATAACAGAGAGAATAGATGTGTTTGCTTATGCCTCTGTTTAGAAACAAAATAACTTATTTAACTGAAAGAGAATTTCAAGATTTTTCATGATTACTAGTAAACTATAAACAACAAATATCTTTTAACAATCTTCTGAGGTACACTAAACTCATTTCTTCCAAATACATGATTCCTGATTTAAAAATCTTACCACACCAATTTTGGCCTTTCTATTTGCTTGTTACTCATGGAACATGTAACATATAACTTTTTGGTTTGAAACTTTTATAATACATTGCTATATGATCTGTTCAGAGAATTTAAGAATAATTTTAATGATAGTTACTGGTGTTCAGAAATTAGTTTGAAAGAATTATTTCACAGTGAGAATATTAACAAAAGATTTTGTTTTATTAATGTACTTCATTATTTTTTTCTTTATGAAAAAACAGTTATTTCAAATTTATTGCTTCAATTTATTGGACACCTTAAAATTTATTGAGCCTGTTTCTTTAGACGAAAACTGCATAGATTTCATAAGACATGAGGTTGTTTTGAACTTTCTATGAAATAAAAAATTATGAAACAGTGTTGGATATGTAATAAGTACTCCTTAACTGGGAGAAAAAAAATTGGTTGTATTAGAATCAGCTAATTTCTCCATCTAGGAATGAAACATCTGTGGTGAAGAAATGACATTAATTCTGTTAATTTAGAGTGAGGAACACTTCAATTCTGCACTACTGTGAATTTAAGAGATTTTTCTTTTATTTATTAACTATCTCAAATTTCTCATTAAATCTTTAACTTTCAACAACACAAGAATGACAACTATTTTTTTTATTGCCATTGTTATGACTAGTGTTTTCATTTTGGTAAATCCAAGTCTTCTTACAGGATTTTTTTCTTCTCCTTTTCTTTCTTTCTTTCTTTCTTTCTTTCTTTCTTTCTTTCTTTTTTCTTTTTTTTTGATTTTCATGAGTATATTGACATTTTACTAAATTAAATATATAGTATATTTTGATGATTTCTGTGTCTTGATTTTAAATTTTCTTGATTTCTGTGTCTTTATTTTAAATTTTCTTTAAAAATTACTTGGAAAATTACAATTGTGGGGTACAGAGTGAAGTTTCAATCCATGTATACATTATATAATCAAATCAGTAATTTCATGTGCTTCACCTCAAGATATTTTTCTTGATATGATAAGCAACTTATGAACACTTTCTTCTAGTTTTCTTGGAATTAATAGAATATCATTAATATGTATTCTCACTACTATGTAATAAAGCCATAAATCTTACTTTCTCTATTTTCTATTTTCTAGTTTCTACTTTCCCTATTGTCTGTTTTTCCCTCGGGATGTATCTTCTCCACTTCCCACACTCAGGGAGCCATAATTTTACTCTGTACTTAAATGACATCAACATTTTTAAATTTTACCCATCAGAACCTGCAGTGCTTGTTATTCCTTGTGTAGCTTATTTTACTTTGTTCAAGTTTTTGTAAGTTAATCTGCACAAAGACATTATTTTTATGGTAAAATTAAGCATTTTTTTTCATTTGCTTATTTGCTATTTTTTTCTTTGGAGTAACATATATTTAAATCCTCTGCTTGCTTTTTACAATTGGGTTCTTGGGCTGATGCCCAGAGGAGGTGGAGCAGAGTGACCCCAGCCTGACCTGCAGAGAAGGTGAATGACTGCACATTTGAGGAGGAGAGTGATCACAGTGCAGTTCCCCCCATCGACCAACATGGCTGTCCAGCCCACTTCCATCTAGAGACAACAGCCAGGACCTGGAAGAMCATCAAGTTCCCTGCAGGCCTGGTTACACCAGRGGCAAGGTTTTGGTATCCTGCAAGGACACTACAGGACTATAGAGAAGAAACTGTAATACCTCAGATCTGCACTGGCAGAGAGAAACATGTATGAATGACATGAAAAAACAAGGGAAGAAAGTGCCCCAGACAAACTAAGATAATACAAAAATAGAATCCATTGACAGCACAGTAAATAAAATGTCAGAGAAGGAGTTCAGAGTGTACATAATGAAGGTGATCTGTAAATCAAACAATGACAGAACAAATACAGGCAATAATTGATCATTCCAATAGAGATAAAGAGAGAAAATACAGGTAGCAAAAGATCACTTCAAGAAAGATATAGAAATACAAGAGGCTTACAGGACACTAACTGTACAAAATTACAACAGATCTACACCAAGGCACATTATAATGAAAATGCCTGGCATACAGAATAAGGATAGAATCTTAAAAGCCATGATAGAGAGAAATCATATCACATATAGAGGAAAACCAATTCGTATCTCAGCAGATTTTTCAGCCCAGACCCTCAAAGCCAGGAGATCGTGGAACAACATATACCAAGCTCTGAAAGGAAGAAAGAAAGAAAATGGATGCCAACCAAGAATCATATCCAGCAAAACTAAGCTTTAGATTTGATGATGAAATRAAAACTTCCATGATAAACAAAAGTTAAAAGAATTTACAACTAGAAGCCCTGTACTACAGAACATCCTCAGCAAAATATTCCACACAGAGGAAATAAAAAACAATGATGAAAATCAGCAGAGGGAGGTATTACACTAAAGGAAAATCTAATYAGAGGAGGAGAAACCAAATCAGGTTAAATACCAAAAATAAACAAAAATGGCTGGGAATACAAATCATAACCCTGAATGTTATCGGCATAAACTCACCAATCAAAAGAAATAGACTAGCAGATTGAATTTTAAGAAGGACCCAACAATATGCTGCCTCAAAGAGACTCATTTTATAGGAAAAGACATCTGCAGACTGAATGTAAAGGGTTGGGAAAAATTATACCTCTCACATGGACTGCAGAAGCAAGCAGGGGTTTCCATACTCATATCAAGTCAAGTAGATTTCAACCTAAAGTCAATCAAAAAGGATAAAGAAGGACACAGCATACTGCTCAAGGGAACCMTATACCAACAAGACTTAACAATTATAAATATGTATGACCCAAACAATGGAGCATCTATGTTCATCAAACTGTTCTCAAGTTTAAGAGTCAAATAGACCAGAACACCTAATTTGAGGTRAATAATTTAATAATTAATTTGGACAAATAATTTGAGGTGACTTTAACACATCTCTTTCATCCCTGGATAGATCTTCCAAACAAAAGCTGAACAAATAAACTATAGAACTCAATAACACAATCATTAACTYAGACTTAACTGACATATATAGACTATTTCATTCTTTAAATACACTTTCTTCTCTGCAGCACATGGATCCTTCTCTAAATAGACCATATATTATGCCACAAAGCAACTGTTAGTAAACATAAAAAAGTAGAGATATTACCGTGTATTCTATCAGATCATGATGGAATGAAATTAGAAATCAATGATAAAATAAGAATTAAAAGCTACTCTAACACCTGGAGACTAAATAATATGCTACTGAATAAACAATGGGTTAGGGAAGACATCAAGGAGGAGATTTAAAAGTTTTTACAGGTGAATGACAACATGTTGAAATCTCTGGGACACTATGAAAGTAGTTCTAAGATGAAAGTTCA